ATATAGTTAATGAGATTTCCTATGTGTCCCGATTTTAAGGACACCCTGTAGAATGTTTCAAATTCCCAATACCTGCGTCAATGTCGCAAATGAAGACGTAAATACCAACAGGCCAGCATATGAATATATTACGATCTCTATCTGCGTATTTCATACCGGTGCTAAACTTCGGCATTCAAACTCGTGTCAAAAGAAGGTGGTCAAATGTTGGTCTTTATTCAAGACAGACAGGTCTTCCCTCCTCACCCCCACATGATCCTGTGAAAGCTTAGTTACAGTAATTGTGTAATAGAAATCTATCATGCATCTATAAGAACGCGGAAAAATGTGTAATGTGCGTGTGCCGAGGGAATAGTCAGCCAAAAGGTCAGCTAAAAAGAAACAGAGTAAAAATACCGATAATTAAAAAGAAAGGGAAAAGATTTCATTTTTCTTAATAATAAATATAATTTCTATATTCATTTTGCTGTCAGTTAACGCGCAAAATATGATGAAAGAAAAATGAAAAAAAAAAACAATTGTCAAAGGGTGCGCAAAAGCCTCATATCTTTGGACTAAAAATAAAAATGCAACAAATATGTAATCATTAAATTCTTTCCAACAAGCCACAAATATTTAATAAAATTTTGAGAGATCTTATACTTTAATTTTCTTTTTTCCACAAGAAAATTTGACGTCAAGAAAAATAAAGCATTATTGTTTTGACTAGTAAAAAACAACAAAAAAAGATGATATTGTTTGCCAACATAAAGCCTAAGGGGTTGACTATTTATGGCTCATATGATAAAAACTCTCTCTCTCTCTCTCTCTCTCTCTCTCTCTCTCTCTCTCTCTCTCTCTCTCTCTCTCGTTCGAATCTTAACAGGTGATCCATCCAAATCTAGGTGACGTCTGCTAGCTCTTCTCAATATTTGTTTTGTCAGTTTGATAATGTCCATGATGTCTATTCCATAGGTTTAAAAAAAAAAAAAGACTGTTTCGTTTTCTATGGCTACCTCTGCTGCTGTTGCTGCTACAAGCTGCTACATTTGTTATGACGTTCAAATTTTAAGACTTATAGGTTTGTTGCGTGCATTTTCATTTACCCTAACTCATATTGCGAAATTGCCTCAATTTTACAGTTCATTGTTTATGTTTTTCATATCACAGAGAAGAACATTTGGATATAAAACATCAAAAATAAATTATAACTAACTACATAAGCTTGACATTAATCAAGATTATTATTTTTTTTTTATACCATAAAACGGAAAAGTTAAAAAGTAGATAGACAAGCAAGCCGGTTAAATAATAATTATCTTTGCTTCATATATTTTATAAAAATATTTTTCTACTTAATAATAAAAGTAGTGATAATTAATAATTTGAAATTGCGTGGGTCCGTAATACAGTTACTGAATAAGGAATATTGTGTGTGTACACACACACACACACACGCGTGTATGTGTGTGTGTGTCCTGAGAATAATGAATAAAAGCTACTTACAAAAAGAATGACTACACAATGAATAAACGAACGCGTACAGAATATTATATTCACACCCCTACAAATGACACACGTCCATACAAGCCTTTTATCTTTTCTCTCATGGTAACACACATACGCGCACCTCCAGTCCTATTACCTCTCTCTTTCTTTCTTTCTTTCTCACTCACTCACAAGCTCATATTCGTTACCAACCCTGTCAGGGATTCGTTTGTAGTCGAGCACTCTCATTTCATCAGGGTAGAGTGATTACACAGTTAAATGCTGAGCCGAGTCAGAAGCCATGAAGACATTGCTCAGCTCGGATCAAAGTAGGAGACGCCAAAAGGCGACTCCGTAAGTATTATTTCCAAGTCTTCTTTCCTCGTTTTTAGTGGAGTTTTTTGTTCTTTCTCCTTCAAACGTGATTGGCTAGAGAGAACCGTGACACAGGATAGCCACCTGATTTTTAACTGGAACAAAAATTTATATAAAAAAAACATCAACGAGAAACGTTTTTTTAAAAAAACTGTCAACAGTTTTTTAAACCCATATTTGTTGGTGTTTTTAGTAGTTACAGAAGAGAAGATTTAGTAGTCACCTACAGTGAGTGATTATTCTCAACCTTTTATTATCTTTATTTAAAAAAAAAAAAACATTCACACACACACGGACTGTTGTTCAACAATATCAGCAGTCGTCTTTACCTAGTCGTTATGTGGGGAGGAAACTAAAAACTAAAAAGGAAAAAAAAAGAAGTGGCTTCTCTCTCTCTCTCTCTCTCTCTCAGCTTGTAGTAAAGTCGACATTGTCGATTCGTCTCTAAGCTGCCTCATTTCTCTGTGTGTGTCTACATGGATGACTATTCAGTGGTGGCTATGCCATGTGGAAAGAAAGACCCAACTGCTACTACGTGTAAACGTCACTCCGGTGGTAAAACGCAACAAATTCAATTCAGGGAACCGACTACCACTGCCATCACCCAAAAACTGGATAAGTGTAAAGACTTTGACATTGGATTTATAAAAACTAAATATCTTATTATTGCCAGATAAAACACGATTATCTTCAGTTTCTTTTTCTTTCTCGCGACTTCAGGAAAAATAAGATCATCGTTTGTTTTTGTTTTTTGGGGTTTTTTTTTTTTTACGGCTACGGTTTGTAAATAGAACACAATAATAATAATAATAATATTACAAAATACGGCCGTTTTTATACAGCGCCAGTTTGAATGATGACAACAATTGTTATTGCTGGTATATAAATCCAGCATACGACTTTCAATTTGCCAATGGATTATCGCTTTGAAGAAAAAGAAAGAACTTAAACAACACCAAACCAAAAAGGAGGATTTAGAGATCATCTTGTCCACTGTAAATCTGTGATCTATCAAACAAAAAGAAAACAGGAATTATTGATTGATGAATCAATTCGTTTCTCTACTGTTGCTGTTATTACAAATTGTTTCTTCTTGCATTTTTCCTTCGCGTATTTTTGCCCCTTGTTTAAGGTTTTCTAGTGAAACTACACACAGTGTTATTCACTAGTGTTCAAGTAGCATTGTTTATTTTTGTTATTATTATTATTTGTAAGGCATTTAATAATTTATTTTGTTCTACTGGAAAACCGGTCCCTGTATCTTCTGAAAGTTATTTTTCCTCGACGGCATCAAAAGAACGGGTTTTTTTATTTATTTATTTTTACTATTTTTTTTCTTTTTCGGAAATTTACTTCTATTCAGTTTCATTTACGACCGCCACTGTTATATCTTAACAATTAGAGGATTATTATTACTATTAAATTAATTATAATAATAACAACAACAACCTGTAAATGATCATTCATGAATTGAACCTACTGCTGCTGCAATTACATGTGCTGTGTCTAAAAACAAAAAACAATGTCTTTCTCCAGATTTAATTCATAAAAAAATTGGGATATTTATTATTACTATGACAACTATGAAAGTACTTTGTATTTATACTTTGTTATAAATTCTGTTAAATTGGCTGAGCAAAGCCTATGAATATCGTTTACGGACTACGTACTACATTACATTTACAACGACACTGTGTGTAGTAGCTTTTGACTTGCAGACAGGAGGAAGAATTTAAGTAAAAAGGACTATGTCACTATATACACAAATATCGACTATTAAATAGTCGTTAGTACATTTGTGAATGTATTTTATGCTATACTTCACAATATATGACTATTTTAAAATTTTACAAATATATACGTAATAGAAATTTAGTTTTCGTCATTTTGAGAACTTTAAATTAAATTCTTTAATGCTTGTCTTTACCAAGTACATAAAAATAAGAGTTATTTTCTTTCTATTGGATTAATTTTAAAAAATTGCTTTAAAACAAAAATGAAACTTAAGTTAATTTAAATTAAATAAACGCATATTTTTACTCAAAAGTGCGTTAACGAGGAAGAAAAAGAAAGTAAAAAAAAGGGCATTTTCCTTCAATCTTCCTATGTTCCACATTTTCGAGGGTAAAGTTTTTTAAAAACAAAATCTCACATCACTGAGAGAAAAAAAAAGCCAAAATCGAAACAAATATTGATCTGAACGACACCTGCTTTCGTGTTCCCTTCATCGGCCTACTCTTCTCCAGAACATTACTTTTTCTTTTCTTTTTTTTTTTTCTTTCGTTTCTTCCAAGAGAGGGTGAGAGGAAATTGTATCTCACTTGGCTTTGAAACTTCTCGGTTGTCTGTGGTTGTTACTGTGTATGTGAATGATCTGAAATAGTAGACAGTAACAAACGCACCGATACATCTACCCGTATCACTTGAAAAGAAGGTAGCTATGGGAAATTCGACTCTGTCCGAAGAGAGGGAAAACACCTAAAAGGAAAAAAACGAAACAAACAAAAAACAAAACAAAGAAAACAAAATGTAAAAACAAAAAACAAAAAATATAAGCTTTGCCTTTATTTTTTGTTTTTTTGTTGTTTTTTTTTTCTGTTACAAAAAAAAATCATTGGCTACACAATGAGACAAGAACGAAACCTAAAAGATGGTTCAGTTACTTTCACTAGGAAAAATGATGGCGACAACATTTTTTTATTAAAGACCTGTGTACGGCCTGAGTTATCAACAATATAAAAAAAGGAAATAATACTGTAGTGTATTGTTTATATACATACGTTAAGAAGACAAATTTAGTAGTGAATATTTTTTTGTCTCTTTTATGTCGTTCTTAAATAAACCCAGGCTAGATAGCGTATTGCTTACCTAACTCAAGTAAAAAAATTTAACTTTTTTCTTTTAAGTATTTAAGTTTTTGTTTAAACGCCTCGAATTGAAGGAACTTAGTAAAAACAAAAAGTGTGTATCAATATTGAACCTTCAACTTTTTTTTTAGACAAAAAAGTTATTTTGAGCTGACTAAAAAAAAAAAAGAAATATTTAAATTTTATTTTTACCCTTTCGGTTCTTTTATTTTGTAATCTTCTCTCTGTTTCGATTATTTATTTACCCTACCAACCAATAAAAAAAAAAAACTTTTCAAAATGGGTAACCACATGTCTTTGCTGGATGGACCAAGCGTACAGTTGGCCATGCTAGGACTGGACTCTGCCGGTAAGACTACTGTTTTGTACCGGCTGAAATTCGACCAGTATACAAATCCCGTGCCCACGATAGGCTTCAACTACGAAAAAATCCGCATAAAATGTGGCAAGGCGAAAGGAGCAACGTTCTGTATTTGGGACGTGGGCGGCCGCGACAAGACGCGACCCTTGTGGAAGTCCTACACCAGGTCTGCCGATGGAATCGTGTTTGTTGTGGACAGCGTCAACCGCGAGAAACTGGAAGAAGCTCGGGTGGAACTTCTACGGCTGCTGCGTGGAGCCGAGGGCAGTAGTCTGCCAGTCTTACTAATAGCAAACAAACAGGACCTCCCGGGTTCTATCAGTCCCGAGGAAATAGAGAAGTTCCTTGCGCTGAACGAAATTTCTCCCGGTCTACTCTGGCACGTCCAACCGGCCTGTGCCGTCACGGGTGAGGGACTTGTCGAAGCCATGGACGCCATGTACGAAATGATTGAGAAAAAGAAAAAGATGAACAAACAAGCCAAGAAGAAGAGATAACGACATTCAGAGTAAAGTTTTTTAAAAAGAATCGTGTGTAGTAGGTGTTAAATTTGGAGTTGCCAGCTCAAAATATCAAGTACTCAGTCACTTTCATGTGAAGCGATCTTACGTACCTTATGATCTTGTAATAATAGGGGACAGAACATCGCTGCACACCGCAAGTGACTACTCTCTACGTTTATAATATTTCTGCATAGAACCGGTCGCACAGTTGAGGTTTAACAGGTATAATCAATGAAGCAATCAATCCAATGAAATCGAATTTATATCAGACTGATCCAAAATGATTTAATACTTTCAACTACCCTGTTAGAGGTGAAAAAAAATTAATTAAAAAAAAAAAAAATCCCCACCCCGGAGTCAGATCTTTCTTGCATGACTAGTACTGCTACCTCCCGGCATTTTTTTTGGGGGTGTGTGTGAATAAGCATGTGTTAAAAAAAGAATGAAAGCAACACAACTACATTTATTTTTGTTTTATTTTACTGGATTCTAAAAAAAAATTATTTAATTTGGTCTTCAAAATCTAACAAAATTATTAACTAAAAAAATTTTTTTTTTTAAAAACACAGTATTCACTTAAAAAACTTTTGATTTTTTTTTGTTTTTTGTTTGTTTTTTTTTTTTTAAATCACTTTATTTGCTGTTATTGGAAAATTGTTTTACACCTACATTTAAAAAAAAAAACAAAACAAAAAAAAAACACTTTGTCGGTCCCCCAAATGAAAGAAATAGAATATTGCAATAATTTTGCATTTCATATGAAAATGTAATTTTTTTTAGCTGAAAAATTCAAAGTTGCTGTCATTTAAACGCAAAAATAAAATATAATTTTTGGGGGTACTGATAAAGTGTAGAAAGTATCGCAAAAATATTTTTGAGATTTTATTGCTTTGTATTTAAAACTTTTCCTTTGACAAGGTACAGTCTTATTTTCTGAAAACTTAATCCTATCTATGTCTCTTCTTTTGAAGACACTTTTTTTCAAAAGATTTTTATTGACCCTACAAATCCTTTAGAAGTCAAAAATCTCGTGTTTTCTTTCTTTTTTTTTTTACTTATATTTTCAAATATCCATTTTTTTTTCCTAAGAAATATTAACATATTAAATCTACCTTGATGTATCTTCATTCATAAAAAAGAAATGATAATGTATTTTTTCACCAGTCATTGGTTGAGACCTCTCATTCCATCTAAGATTGAAAGGGAAATATGCTCATGTAGACACCTTTAAATTGTCATTTTTCAAAAAAAATATTTTTTTTTTGTTTTTGTTAATGAAAGTTTAAGTGTCTGAAAAACCTGAAAGTTTTTTTTTTTTTTTTTTTTTTGGTCTTTTTGGTCTTGAATTTTAAATGTGCACTCAAAATGCAGTGTTATGTTAAAATAATATAAATAAAACCTGGTTTATCTTACAAAAGTTAAAAAAAACAGTGGGTTGTGGGGGCAGAGTTTGGATCAACTGGTGCCTGTTTAGTTCTCTGGCAAGTCTTTCAGATTTTATGTTTGCACCAGTCGGTGCATTGGAAACAAAACAATTCCAGCACAAAATCTTGAAGTGCTGTTTGATGTCCAAAAAAGTAGTGTGGGGTAGAGGCAGGGTTTTTACTCGTTTAATCTTAACTCCACCTACAATCAATTCTAGTCAGTGAAAGCAATTGGAAATTCGGTTCCAAAATCTTTGATTCTCTCCTCACTCAGTATAATTCTTGTTCATTCTATAAAGATAACTCTTGAATCTGGCCGAAGAGGTAACTGAAGTGTTAATATTATAATGATAATATGGCAAACTTGGACTTTTGTGACCGCAAAAAAATAGATCGTCAAAAGGATGGTTTTTCCATTGACACAGCTATCATTTTAACTACTTTCACTCTTCAGCAATGTTTATTGTTTGAAAAAGCAATGATTAGAATTGTAATAAAACCTAAACATGATGAAACTGAATTCATACATTTTTTTGTTCTTGAGAATTTACAACAAAAATATTAAACACTTTATTAGATTGTTTATTTACAAGAATAATTTTATATTTACAACATTCTGAAAACCAATACAATTAAAACTAATGCAATGCAGTATTTATCATTTACCAATTTATAAAGAAGTAAATATGAAAACAATTTTTTATTCATAAATTTAAAAATATTTACTAAATTATTAAACTATGTGAAGCAACTATAAGGAAACCTTTATTTACCATTTTATAAAGTTTGAATCATTTGGCAATTAGCCAATGTTTTGTCAACCATTCCAATAAACAATCTAATAAATAAATAGGTTATTATTTTTGTTGTAAATTCTCAAGAACAAAGAAAATGTATAAATTCACTTTCATATATTTAGGTTTTATTAAAATTCTAATTATTGCTTTTTAAAACAATAAACATTGCTTAAGAGTGGAGGTAGTTAAAATAATAGCAGTGCCAAGGGAAAAACCATTCTTTTGACACTGTTTTTTGTTTACAGGCATGAAGGTCAAAGTTAGCCAATAATATTTTCCTGTTTGGAGACTGCTTTCTTAAGCCAAACTTGGTACTTGGTCATGTGTTGACATCTTTCGTTACTTTTCCAACCTCTGTCTTCAGGCTGCTTTGACAATGACCTAGTCATATAAAATACAGCCAAATTATTTAAAGCAAAATTTAAAATTGATAATTTAATATTGCCTACCAAAAATAGACATATGGAACATTTATGTCAGAATGGTTATTACGAAAATTTTTATATTTGTTCTCGGTTTGCACACAATGTACAATTAAGTACATTCATTTTTCGGTTCACATTTTTAAACATGTATAGGTACATATTTAGTAGATTTAGATTAGTTTTAGCACAAGGTTAAATTTTGTGTCTAATAAGATTGTAGCCATTTTGGAGCGAAAAACAAACATTTATATTTATTACTCAATTTTTGTATGTTTTTTATCGTAACACCATAAAATCAGTATATTTAGTGCAATACTACTAAATTTCTTGAATACAGAATAAAGCTGTTTCTTTAATAAGGCCACCAATTTGAGTAATTTTAAGTTTAAACAGAATCTTGCCTCCAATAAAATATTTGGCTAAGGGAGATAAACTTGAGTTTATTAACTGTTAATTACAAAATCATTTCACTGAGTTTTACTGTAATAAGAGAAAGTATCTTTGACCTGAGTACACTCTACTTTGATAATAATAATTAGCATTTGTAAATAATTGATATAAATACTGCAAGAAGTGATTTAATATTTGGTAAAGGCTGAAAAATAAGCTTTGATTTTTTTTTTTTTTTTTTTTTTTTAAATTTTGCATTCCTGAATTTAATTAGATGAAGTGAATTATTTTTCTCATCATTGACTGGATTGTTTCCTTTTCTTTTTCTTTTTTCTTCTCTTTGTTTTTCTTCTTCTCTTTGTCTTTCTTTTTCTTTCTTCTCCTTTTTTTTCTTTTCTTTCTTCTTTTTTTCTTTCTTATCTTTTTCTCCTCTTCTTTGTTCTTTCTTTGTCCTTTCTTTTTTTGTTTTTTCTTCTCTTTCCTCTTTTTCTTTCTTGCTTCTCTTTTTCTGCCCTCTTCTTTCTCACCTTTTTTTTTTTTTTAAACAGCTAACATTGTTTTGTATATCTGAACCACAAGTAGGTCTAACACACACAAGGCATATCTGGCATTTTCAGCAATTCTTCAAGTCTTTTTGCAATGTTATCTATATACAGAGCGATTGAAAAATAACTCCCTATTTTATGCATGATGGACTCTCCGGTCTTGTAAAAATTATAGTTAGATATGTATTCTTTATCTACTAAATTCAACAATGACCATCAATAATAATCATCGGTGCATACCAAGTGTATGGCTCCTCACAACTCTTTCTCTCCAATCGTCATGATTATCCATCTTACCTAGTAAGTTTTCAGGTTAGCATCCTGCATCTTCACATGGATGTAGGTTTTGACTGGCTAATCTGTGCTAGTGTGGCCATGTTTTGGAGTTTACAAAAGTACAGTACTGATAAGCTCATTCTTACTTCAAGGATGCCTTACAAATCTTCTTCTCTTCTAAAGGACTTATGAGAGGTAGATGACCATGGAGCTTCTCTTTTTTTCTTTTTGTAGGGTACTCTTTTTGTAGAGTACTCTTTCTGGGGTAGATTCAATATGCAGCTGATTGTATTTTCAACAAAAAGTATTAGCTAAATGACATCTATTACTGTATTGATTCCCAATTTTTACCTTGAAGGAGATTATAGGATTTAATATTTCGAAATTAAAAGCCAATAAATTAGTTTAACAGAAAACCAGGAATAGCTGTCAGGGTAATGGCATTAAAAAATAAAGTCCTTCCAAAAAACTCTGTTGTTTTGTCAAATGATAGTATATGCCAGCCATCAATGGATTTCCTCTCCAACATTATCCTCAAAATATCATTTGGAGCAGTAGGAAATATATATTTACAAAATCTTGTACCATTATTCATGGCAATCATTTTAGCAGCTCCTTATTTATTTTAAAGAGCCAGTAACTATGAAAGTCAAGAGAAAGTTTGCTGTAACTCTACGCAAAAATATCTAAATCATAAGGAAAACCAAGCCGCCATTGATTTGGGGGTCGGGGGGAAGACTATATAATTTGTTCTCTGTATCTGCTTTTTCTCACAAGGACTGGAAATTTTGATTTTTGTGACACTGATATAATATTTCAAGTTTTTCACAAACTGAAAAGAAAAGGATGAGAAATAGAAAAGATATTTAGCATGATTTGAAGCTGACATTATCAATGCTTGGATTTTTTTTAAAAAAAAAAAAAAGAATTTAAAAAAAATACATAAATAAAAAAAATTTTCTCTGAAAATTTAATACAGAAATTGAGATCTTCCTATTTGTCAGTTCCTTCATCATATTATCGGAAAAAGAAAAAGATTTTTTTTTTTTAAGTCTGGTTCAATTTCTAAATGAAGAATATTCTATGGCTGCTGTTCTTTTACGTTATTAATTTTGCTTTCATTTCTTCTCTTCCTTCAAAAGTTGTGCGGAAAGAGAAGATTGTGAACTTTCTCAATTAACAGAAGACAGCCATATGCTTCACCCCTGCCCCACAAATTATTATAGATATATTTTTTAACATTACAAAGGCTTTTTGAATTGCATCTCCCGTCTTTTCTTTGACACCTAACTCTTATTTCTTTCTTTTACTGTCTTTCTCACTCTCTCTCTCTCTCTTTTGTTCTTTCTTTCTCACTCTCTCTCTCTTTTGTTCTTTCTTTCTCACTCTCTCATTCTTGTTCTTTCTTTGTCTCTCTCTCTCTCTCTCTTTTGTTCTTTCTTTCTCACTCTCTCATTCTTGTTCTTTCTTTGTCTCTCTCTCTCTCTCTCTTTTGTTCTTTCTTTGTCTCTCTCTCTCTTTTGTTCTTTCTTTGTCTCTCTCTCTCTCTCTCTTTTGTTCTTTCTTTGTCTCTCTCTCTCTCTCTTTTGTTCTTTCTTTGTCTCTCTCTCTCTCTTTTGTTCTTTCTTTGTCTCTCTCTCTCTCTCTTTTGTTCTTTCTTTGTCTCTCTCTCTCTCTTTTGTTCTTTCTTTGTCTCTCTCTCTCTCTTTTGTTCTTTCTCTTTTCTCCCTCTTTCTCTTTTCTTCCTCTCTCTCTTTCAATCTCCTTTCTCCCTCTTTTTCTCTCTCTCCTCCTCTTTCTCTCTCTTTTCTTCTCTCTCTCTCTTTGTGTGTTTGAGAGGGTGATGACTTAAAGTAAGAAAAATATCAATTGCTGGAGGAGGGGGAATAGATGTTAAATACATGATTAAGTACAACTGTACCTCACTGTGGTGGTAATGGTTAAAAAAGCTAGTCTAGCAGTCATTAATACAATAATGTGTTCTACCTTTGCTGAGTGCACGATTCTTATGTCCTTATGCCAGACTAAACTAAGATTAATAAATATCAATAAAATTAATACCATTGAGTCAACAACATATTCATTTGTTTAACATGTTGTTGATCTGTATTATAATTATATACATCAGCTTAAATGACACCTGCAGATCAATCACTGGTTGTCTCCAACCTACCAAAAGTAGATTACCTCTACTTGCTTAATGGCATTGCTCTCCTTTACACCAGAAGGACAGTCCACTCTCAACTTGAGAAGTTGAAGAAGGAAATTGACCCTTGTCATCCTCTCCACGGCTGTGAACCAATGACAAAGAGGCTCAAGTCAAGACACGGCTTTGTACATTCAGTTGAACCACTGAATAACAAAGCTCCTAGTCAGCATCTGTCCCTGTGGTGCAGCCACCTTAACAACGTGGAACACGGGCTCTCTCTCAGCGCTACAGAATCCCTCTCCCACCTGCTCTAGTGATACCTGGCCCTTCTGCTTCTGCCTGAATCACCTCCAAACTGCTGTTGGTCGCTGTAGAGCCAACCTTCAGAAATGGGGATATGTCACCGATAATGATCCCAACTGCCAATGGGGGCAATTATGAACTATGGAGTATCTTCTAGCTTGTCCCCAATCTTGAAGATTCATGCACCCTTAACGACTTTGAAACTTTAACACACCAGGCAAAGCCCTGTGTGCAACACTGGATTTTTTTTTTAAGTAGAGAATAGAAAACAGAGTCAATAAAATTAAAATTGGTAATTTAATCCTGCCTTTGTCCCATAATTGTTGGTACATTTAATGTATTAATGATATATGCAAATATAACAACTATTTTGGGATAGAGGCAATTTTTACCTATTGAAGTTGAAAATAAATAAATACTATTACTATATCTCAGAATCATTCAAGTAAAAAAAAAATGTCCGTTAAAAAACAAAATGTATGTTAATACTAAATTATCTTTGTTTGTTTGGTAGTTGAGACAGTTGTACACTTCCCATCAGTTCCATTGAATAGGATTCAAATCCAGTTGAAACCCAGGATTCAAAGTTAAGGTATATGCAAATTATGCTAATATCTATACTAATAATTTGGTAAATGAAATTTTAATGGATCATATTTGGGGATGAGATTATTACATAAGTAACAAATATATTAAAAAAATAACATTTTACTGGTGGCTGGAATAGTTAATCATTTTCTGTTCAAAAGCCAGAATTTTAACTCCTATTACTCTGTATGTGACTTCATTTGCTGTGTAAAAAGTTGAAGGTGACTCTGATCCCTGAATTTGTTTGAATTTCATAGTTGTGTTGTCATATCCTGCTATGGCAACAGAAAACACTTTTCACTGAAATTAACAATAAGGTTAATGTAATTGAGAGATCTTGAAAAAGAATGCCATGGAAATAAAAGTAATATTAATGATACAGAGTGCTAAAGGTTAAATGCTGATTTTCTAGGCTGATCCTCATCATTTGGGAGGTGTCATACAATGTTTCTAACCTTGATTTGTGATGTATTAAGCTAAATTATATAATCAAGAAGATCATACCTACCATAATCAAGATCATAGAGCCCACAACCCCCAAACTGCAATTAATTGTTAGCCCAATGTTCTTTTCCCTGACTGTATAGTATATGCTTTGCCAGGGCCACATACAGTTTTGACTTCAGAGTTGCCAACCATTACTAGAGAAAATGGTCTGCCCTGCTATTTAAGCTATAGCTGGAGAGAGTATAGATGAATTCATACATTTCGTAACAGTATTTGTGTGAAAGTGAATATAACAAACCATAATTTCTTGGTCTGAGCCACTGTTATTCTACCTGCACATGCCAAGAAAATCCTATTTATTGCCATAATCCATGCCAACTAAGATGACAGGTATCTTCCCTTCTCAATGTCTTAACAAGTGACAAGGTTTATGATTCTGATAAATTTAATCATATTATGATGAAAAATTGGTGTTTAATGCATGACAGGAAGTGCCCAAGTTTTCAGTTTTCTACTGCAGGCAGCAGAAAAAAAACGTAATTAGCAGTGCTCCATTGACCTAGTGTTGGTAACAGAATGTCTACTTTGAAACTTAAAAATAAGCTGTGCTTGAAATTGAACATGAAGCTGTAGATCTCCATTAAAATGTTTCCACAACTTGCCAAAAAAGATTCCCATGGGGACTTCGACATGTAATGGCTAGCAAGCTTGTCTTCCTAGGTCATTTATGACTAATTAGTGAGTTCAATCCCTAATTGGTGCTCCGTATTTGTGGCCTTGTGCCACATCTAAGCTATGCTTAGTAAATCAAAAAATTCCTGATCAAATTCAGAATATTATATTATGCCAGTTTTTTTTTTTTTTTTTTAAAGAATTCTATTAGCAAAGATATGTTATAGAATTTGAATTTACCTCAGAAACATACAGGAAGAAGAAGAAAGATTACAAATTTAAAAAAAGAAAAAATTTTTAAGATAATCACGTAATATCTTCATTTTGAAATGAAGTCTGCAGTGTTTTGAGTCATTGATCCACTGTTGGTGGTAGTGTGGGTCATTTTATTCCCATAGAAGAGAAACGTGTCAGCAATTCTTGTTTTCTGTTGAGTGCAATAATAAATTGTAAGAAAAATGAGTTTCTCTGAAATGAAATCATTAATTCGTTTTCAAAATCTATTTTGTAAAATTGTCTTGTTTGTATGTATGTACAACCGAAAGAAAAAGACTTTTTATAGATTTTTTTTTAAATCCACTGAATATTTGGGATTTGAAATATTACTTGAATATTTAATTGTATTGAACAACCCAATGTTTTTTATATTTCCCTTCATTTATAAATGATGTAAATAGTTTCTTGT